AATTTTCATTCTTTAAGAACTTTCTTCGAGACATATTTTCGATTTCATTTTTAATTATGGAAATTTTCAGTTTCGTGCGCGTTGCATGATAAAATCTTTTTTTTTTTCTTTCTTTCTTTCTCTCTCTCTCAAGGATTTTTTTTTCTGAAATTTTTATTTATAACTACGACGGAGTGTTATAGCGTGAAGGAATTATATTGAAATTGGTACAATTTTGTTGTTTTTTTTGTGTGACTTGTCGAACAGAAAAAAAAAACAAATTAATGAAAAAGATATAGGTGGAGTATAAAATTGTAGAGTAATTTAGGAAAGGTCGTCAAACATGATATTATAGTTGAAGGAAGAAGGAACGTTTGGGGATCATCAAGGTTATGGAGAAGGATGAGAAGGGAGTTTCTAGTAGGTGGTGGCTGAAAGTTGTGTCACTCTATATATAACGGCAGTCAACACCCCACGCGGTATTGAGAACATTCACCGCATCTGCGGTAACATGGTTTCCAGTTGCAAGGTACCTTTACTTTCTATACGCGAGTCTTTTCCGTTCTTTTTTTCTATCCTTATTTTCTTCCAAAAATTCATAGCAATCACATTTGAGAATCTTTATTTAAACAAAGTTATTATATTATATATTTTCTTTTTTTTTCCAATAATTTTTTAGTGAAAACGAAAGTGTTTTATTAACGAAAAGTATTTCAAGTGAAAAGTGATAACAATTTATTAACTCAGTGTGCACAAACGCGATTATTAATCTTGAAAAAAAAAACACAATAAAGCATAAAAATAAATTATAATTAATTAATAATAATTATATATATAGGTAATTAAAATAAATTATAGTTAAATACTATTGTTTGTTTGATTTTAAGATGACGCCATGGCTGATGGCAATCTTTTGTCTCGTGACAGCAGGCTGTACGAATGTTACGGATCAGCAAGCATCGGAAAGTACGCATAATCATCAAGTGGCTATCTTGAAACAGATCAGGAAGGTTAATGAAGACGGTTCTTACACATATGGATACGAAGCTGGTGATGGATCATTCAAGGTAAATTAATATTTCTAGTAATACTCTTCTAACGTGTCCCAATTATTAGATCATAATTATATCGATCGGTAGATTAGAAATAATATAATTAAACAGAGAATAAAATACATTACGGGGGAATCGTTTGTGTATAAAAACACAAATTAAAAATCTAAATTAGAATAGATTGATTAATAATAATTGTTTGACAATTAAAATTAGAGAAGAACGAATTCGTGATCCTAAAAGTTGTATTGTTAGGTCGAGACCCGTGACGTTCTAGGCAACATCAAAGGTACATTCGGTTTCGTCGATGCTGAGGGTGAAATAAAGAGAGTCTCGTATTCTTCCTCTAACGGAACGGGATTTAAAGCTACGACCGTATCACCATTACAGGAACACATATCGGTGGTCCAGAGTATTCCACGTGTCAATCGTACCAACACCAACAACAATAGTGGAATCAGTAGCAGTAGTAGCCCAACTGTAACAACAACCACAACCACGAAAAGGCCAAATTTGGTGTATGCTTCAACAGAATCGTCAACCAAATCATCGGTTGTCCAATCGATTCCAAGAACGAGAAAAACTGCTGCAACAACTTCGACGACAACTACGACAACACAGAGTACTAGTACCGAGTCAACGAAAAATATATTCAATCATTATTTGAAAGGTAATTCGAAAAGTAGGCCACGATTTATTATCAATGGCCAACAGAGACCGATCGGAGTAGAGGAAGATCCTGAGGAAGCTGAGGATTCACAGATAAATCGGCCAAGTACCGAGGAAAGGAATCCTGGATATCGGAGAATTTTATTTGCCAAACGTCCCATAGAACAAAATTTCAGACCGATTACTGAAGATTTTGTTGAGAAAGATGACGAACCGAAAATATCTACCGGTAATAATTTGAGAAGACAACTTCATGAGGATTCGACTAAAGCCAGTACATCGATTGATAATAATAACAATAATAATAATAATAATAATAATAATAATGATGAACATTCTGACGTTTATGGTGGTGCATTGTCCACCACACGGCCATTGTTCACAACTACGATTCCACCTAGGGTTCTTCAACGTATTCCTGGACCACGTTTAGAAAGACCGAAAATATTTGTTAATCGAGACAATATGGGGCCTGCTAGATTCGATGATGGCAAATACGAAGGTCCTAGAGTCTATGAACCTGAACAAAAATCACCATTAGAAGAACAAACTTCTACACAATCGATTCTGATTCGTGGTCCACCGAGAATACCTGTTGAAAATCGAGAATATCTTAGACAAACCACTGAACCTATATTTGTACGTACTCAATCAGAATCCTACGTACGAGAATTACCACAGAGAATTTTGGTACAACCTCAACAAAATAATATCGAGGATGAGCCACAAGCTTACAGACAAATTCCAATTGGTAGACTTTTGTATAGGCCCGTAAGCAATCAACAACAACAGCAGCAACAACAATTATACAGTACCACTACAGATGCAAATGTTCATTATTTATCCGATAATAATCCAACTGTAGAACCAGAAGAAGAATCTCGTTTAACCATGAATCAAAATTACGTCAGACCTAGACCATATCCTCGACCATTGATTTATCAAGAATTAGAAGCACGAGTAAGACCAATTGCCAGACCAATTCCACAATCACCAGTTACTCAAAACATCGAAGATCGAGAGTATCAACAAACAACTCCCGATTATGTTTATCGAACTACACCATTAGCTTTACCACCTGAACCACCAAACCCAATAGCACCTCCACTCAGTAGACGAGATTTCCAGATATTACTGAGACGTCTTTTGGTTAGCCAATATGGTGTACAAGCTCTATCCTATCCTAAAACTTATTTGGAAGATGCTCTTTACGATCAACAACCATACCCATCTTATCAATCAGGATATCAAACACCCCCCATACCAAGACCTGATCTTGCTACATACGATCAACAAGTAACTATGCAATATGGTGATCGTGTTCCATTGAGACGTCCAACTTATGCTAGAGGATTGAATCCAATTTATCAAACTCATCATCAGTACGATGATTACCAAGATGGTAGATTTGCAAAACGCGTTTACAGACAAAAGTTTTATACCCAAGAAATAACCGACGATGGAGATGAAATCTTACCAGCGCCTATAAGAGAAGCCTTACTTTTGCGAATGCTGCAACTTGCCATTAACGCTGAACGACCAGCTGTGGTAGAAAACACCATGATTAGTACAACAACGCCTGCTTCGAGATATAGGAAGACTGGTCCGGTCAGAAGCGTTCAAATTATTACCGACGAGTCTGACGATGACAAGGACGTTATGAACAAAAAAATGTAACTCCTCCTATTCTCACTTTTCTTTCTATTCTTTTCTTTTTATTTTTATCAAAGTAAAAAGTAACTCGTTAAATGAAAGTAATTAATAATAATAATAATAAGAAGAAGAAGATTCCGATCGAATTCATTCAATCAATGATGACAAGTTTAGAAACAAACTGGCAGAACTTTTAATTCTGATTTTTTTTAAGTGACAAGAATAATTTTTAATTAATCAAAAGAACGATCGTTTTCGAGTATAACTTAAGTTTCCGTCCAAAGATTTTTCATATCTTATATTTTCTAATTTTATTTTTAGTTTTATAAGATAATCTCTGAAGTACGGTGTCCTCTCATCCATTGTACATACGTTAGCTAAGCTAGTGTAAAAAGAAAAAAAAAAAAATATATGTAATGAAAATAAAAGAGTGAAAGATAGTAGATAATCGGCCGTGAGAATTGGTTTCGTCATGTGCTGCCTGCCTCCGAGAGAGTGAACACCAAGACGGAATAATAACCTGCCTAAGTCTCTTTCTGGGTAATTAGCATCACTGCTGTTGCAACATCAGCCATGTCGGACGTGCAAACGAAACGTTGCATGCGTAAATGTGTCTCTGTGTTTGTCTATGCGCTTATATATATGTATGTGTGTGTGTGTATGCGTGATATTTGTTAATTCGTGTGTTTGTTGAGAACCAAGTATGACGGAAATCACGAGATCTTTCTTGAATTTCTTGCTAAATTCTTCATGCGACTTTTTTACGCGTTCTTTGCGTTTATTAAATTTAATTATTTTCTTTTCTTTTTTTTTTTTTTTTTTTTTTTTTATTTTAATTGATATACGAGTCAATATAATATTTTGTTTTATGTAACAGTGATGGTGAATCCAATGCACAAGTGCATGTAAATTTGTCTCGAATATAGTTTATTAATTATTTTGAAAACATTTATATATTGGCAAAACATAGAACACAATTTTTAAATGATTACAATAATTTGAATGACACTCATTTAATTTTTAAATAAATCTCAGAGTGTAATTCATTATTAAAAAACAATCATATAATAAATTTATATTATACATTTAATATATAAAATTATTTCATTTTAATTCTGTTTGTTTTTTAAATACTATTTAATTTGAATCCACTGTTACAAAAAAAGATTCACCATTGCTATATTAAAAAGTGATTTTCTGTATTCCATGTTTTATGATTAATTTTTGTCATCATAATTTAAAAGAATTCAATCGGAATGAAGTAAAAATTGTTCCAATATTTTCATTCGTCCGGATATGCGTGCTCGTGAAAGGTTCTTATTAAAGTGACGTAGACATTCGACAGGATACCAAATTTCCGGCATTCCATATAACCACTTCATTGACATAGCACATAGTCAATTTTTCACACAGGATCTGGACAAGATAACAAGGAGTTCCACAACGAATTACCTAATTAGGCTAACTGTTGTAGTCGACAATTTTCTTTCTCGTGGAAAGTTGACGACTGAGACAAGAATTCGTTGTCTCACGGTACACACATATTCATTTCTATGCATACATGTATTTATACAAATTTCACTAAGCCATTAAAAGAAACTGCATAAACCACGCGAATAAGGTGATAGAAAAGTATGATACATTTGCTTGTAGAAAATAAATCAACAACAATAACGACAACATTGCCGTTTAGTTTAATACACAATTATATACACGAACATTTAAATTTATACGAAATAGGAATAATATTAATAATAATAATAATAATAATAAAAATCATATATAGTGAGAGAGTGTACCAACAAGATTTCATTTAGGTACTTAATTAGTTCATTGTTGTATAATATGTACAATTCTCGAACTTATGGTAAAAGTAATACCGCATGAGTAATGTGAAATCACGACGACGAGATTGTTCTCGTGAGAACTTTTTTTTTTTATGATACTTGATTAATAGACGCAACAGAGATTTTCGAATGAATTGAGGAACTGCGCGGTACGTTTTTAAGACTTTCGATGTCATCGTCGTAAGAATAATGACTGAAGGGTTCGGTTTGTACAGCTACATCTTCGTAATCTAATTCGAGAGGATCTTGTTCATAAATAACGTCGTGACTACGTGGACGAGCTACCGATGGTATCCATGGTTGTGGTACTCCTTTACCTAACGCTAAAAATACAGCTGCTGTTGAAAGTAAAACTACTGAAGCTACACCAAAAACGAGTCGCCATGATCCAGCGATCTGAAATAATTGAATTCGCATTAGCACAAACCTTGTTAGTCCTATTATTAATCATTTGATTTGAATATTCGAATTAGTGTTTATACATTTTTGGGTATATCACAATTGACTTACCGAACCATGAAGTGCTTGGGTGACGAAATAATTAGCAGCCAATAAACCTGCTGCACCTAAAGTCGAACAAAGAGCACATGCTGCAGCAGCACAAGCTGGGGATTCAGCTGGTGCCAAATCAGCAATGGCAGCAAGAGCCCCAGCTGGTGCTGTCCCAGATACCAAAAGTGCTGCAATACCTAACCAGGCTGCACCTAATGCTTGACAACCCGCGTATCCTGCTACGAATAGTAACGCAGCTGGTATGAAGTGTGCTGTGAAAAATAAAAAGTTAATATACATACGTAGAAAAAAAAAACCATTGTTGAAATGTGTAGAGTGATTAATGATAACGGTGTTGAGAAGATAGCGAAAGATAAACAATTTTATGATCGTAGACGAGTCGTTATAAAAAAGTAATGAGTAATCAAATAAATTATGTCATGTTACTTGAATTTGTTATCATCGAGATGTTAAGTAAATTGTTAACGTACGTACCTGTATAGACGACCAATTTTCTTGCAGTAGTTGTTGAAACAATTCTAGACTCTCGTACATGATCTACTAAAAGACCACATGTTAATGCAGCCATGAAGTGTCCGATGTGAGGTAAAGTAGTCAACACGGAATCCTAAAAAGTGTTGCAATATTTTGATCAATCATTTAATTACTTTCAAATATTTATTAAAAACAATTCATGCATAACAAGCTCACGTTAGCTGTCGAAAATCCATAAATAAGTTTCAAATATTTCGTCATTCCAAGTGCAAGAGTAGCATCGCCCCATTGATTCCCCATAGTTGCAACAGCTGATGCCCAAACTGGTACAGATCTTAATAATTTTCCCCAAGGAATTACAGCTGCCTAAAAACGTTGCAAATACTTTGCTAATTTAGACTTAGATGATTTGATATTTCATTCTTACATTTGTATCATGTTGATAAGATTTTGGTGTGTCTTTGACGAATCTACCAAAAGCGAAATACCAGCAAAGAGCTAGAAGTACCAAACCATAGCAAAGGGAATCTCGTCCGAATGTTCGAACCACTGCTGTGCCTAACCAACCAGTTAAACAATATCCAACGCTGACAGCTTAAATAAAGAAATAAAAAAACCAATGTATTTATTTATTTATAGTTTGATTGATTAAATGATTGGTATGTTAATTAATTACCAGCGTAACAGCTGAAATATGAACTTCGAGTGTTGCTTTTGAACCAGGTCATTGCGAGCATGTGAGCAGCTGGCATGGTTGCACCCTATAAATAAAAAATTATAATTTAATTAATTAATTAATTAAAAAGCGCGATTGTTATTTTTTTTTTCGGTTTCACTTACAGTACAAAGTCCTTGAAAGAGACGTAATGCAACGTGTGATGGTCCTCTCCAAGCAGCTGGTACCAATAAAGATGCCAAACAAGCACTAAGTACTGCTCGAGAAAATACCATAGAAGGACCTGATCTACCCCATACCAAACAACCCCCTAATATTGGCCCTGCCACTTGACCCCATAAAAAAGCCTCTCGCATTATGGATTCTGTTCTTTCTTCCGGTGGTAACTTTTAATATAAATTAATATAATCATTATTTTTTTCAAAAATTAACATCAACATATTTTTAAATATACAATTGTTTAAATCATTTCCATTGAATTATGAAATTATGTGAACATTTGTGTATGTAATGATTGATAATATTTAAAAATTGATTTGAAATGATTTTAATGAGGATAAATTTGTATACCTCCAAGAGGATAACTTCGAAATCTTCTGTACGATTTCGACTGCTGATATTGACAAGCATGTCACAGTGCCAGGAAGTGTCGATAATGGCATGGTTGTCTTCCTGTTTAGCTAGCAATGCAACAGACGAACTTACTTCGACTGCACCACACAATGCAAATCCTACTGCAACCAATGCAGCTACGATATGTCGTGCTCTAACAGCAGCTAAAAGGGAAGACAACATTTTTTTCATTTTCGAACATTTTATTGTCTCTTCCATGTTCCTTTTTTTTCGCGTTTATCCTAGTCCTATATTTTTATGTGATTTTTATATGATTTTGTTTCGTTTCTCAATTATTCTTTTCCGAATTTTTGTACAATTGTTTTTTTTTTTTTAACAATATATTTCTTTGTATTTTTTATTCTTATTATTTTGATAACGTTTTTGAAATACTTTCATAAGAGAAGAAATGAACAAGAAAATGTACAAAAAAAAAAATGCAAGTTAGAAAACGGGGTATTCGCGACACGCGTTAATTTTGCGATTCCGAGCTCGACTATCTCGCGACATATGTTTGTCGAATCTCTTCTTTATCTTAAAAAAACAAACCGTAAACTAAGATAGAAAGATAGAAGATGAAAATCTTTTTAACATACGTTCTATATACAATTAAATTGCATTGAAAGGGGTTAAAGCGTAATATCAAAAATGAAAATTAAAATATTAAGTTGTAATATATAAAAATGTTGATTATATATTTTTGATAAGACAGATAAGTTAAAACGTCAAAATTAGATATGAAAATGTCTTTACCAATTAATCATAATTTATATTTCATTGGTTGCTAATAGATTTATTTAACAAATTGGTATATGCATACATTTATTCAATTGACGTTTTTATTTTATTTTTTTATTATTTATTTATTGTTTTATTACATCATGTATAAATATAACAAAAATTATATTTAATTAATTTTTATTAGATATTTACTTTAAATATTAATAATTCCATACGTTTATTTAATTGACATTTCTATTGCAATGCGTATAAATGAGTAGAAAATTCAAATACAAAAAGAATTGAAATAAGAAAAGTTAGATGAGATTGAAAAATAGAAAAAGACAGAAATAATGAGGGGGGGGGGGAAAAAAAGAAAGAAAGAAAGAACGAACCTCGAACTTCTTTAGCAGCTTGTTTTATTTGGATACTTCCACGTTTAACGAGGTGAACACTACCTCTCTTTACGATGTCTGCCATCTCACAAACTTTGTAAGAACGGTGAATACAAGATTGACATCTCCCTCTTTCTTATCATTCTACGTTTAGCAAATTTTGTTCTTTCTTCCTTTTTTTATCTGACGAATCAACTATCTCTCATACGATACAAAGAGGAGGCTTCGTTAAAAACATATTAAATTATATATAGGTGACCCCCAACTTTGGTTCGATAGTGATGTAACTACAAATAGGCGTGCATTTTAAACAGATAACGTTCGTACACACCTATCCTCGTTTAATCATTTTATTTTCACGTGAGACTTTATATATTTTTTGCACAATCGAATTAAATTTCAATTGTTTCTATTGCTAGCAGAACATTTCATGATTGTTTTTTATTGCTATTATTTTATTAATAATATTTTTTAAATTAGGCATTATTGTTTCTAATTAATTAACAATTTAATAATTTTTATATTGTTCATTATTGTGTCGAATTTATTGAAATCGTTGTAGACGTCATTCAAAGTATGAACCATAGTTATTTCTGCACTCATTTTGTTCTCAGCTAATATTTCATTTAATTTACATATCACACATTATATTGATTTAATTTAAAAATATTAACAATAGATATATTTGTATTTTTTAAATTTCATATTAATAATTTACCTTTCATTTCGAGAGCTGCATGTCTCAGTTGAACGCTACCCCTTTTAAGTCTTACGAGAGCTGCCATGATCATCGAATTAACAAACTATTCGATTGATTTTTCATCGTGTAATTAACATATTCTATGCACATTTTTATCGCGTTTGTTTTATCTCGTTCTCTTTAAATTTCAAGAGAATCTATCCGATCGACCTGAGTAACTCAAAGTATACTGAGCTTTTTATTATATGGTAGCAGAGTGAATGAACGTCTCCGTTAACAAGACTTGATACAATAAGTACCCATGCTGGGTCAGCCTTGAAGCACCGTTTCAGCCCAAGTATTGTAATATTCATATACGTGTGTCACACACTTATCAATTTCTAAACGAAATATTAAATGATACTTAGGACACATGACGCTATTTTTTAACTATACTTCAGTAAGGTGATATATTTATTATAGAATACAATATGTAAAAATAATTAAAAATTGTATTTTAATTTACTTTTACTCGTTTAAGGATTCGTGATTATACTATAAATAAACAAAACAAAATAAGCAAATTGTATAAAAATTCGAATGAATCAAATGATTAATATTACAATTTTATGCATTGTACTTATACATTTGTCATCGTCAATGAGTTCACTTCCAAATTTATTATTACTCGATAATAGTCGATGATTATCAACAAAGTTAAAGTTGGTAACTTCATTCCCGACATCGTCGGTAACCAAAGTAGATAAACGTATTCGGTAACGTACTGCAGGTAAATTCAGATTACCTGCAATCAACAATTGTGATCAAAGATTATCAATGAAGAAAATATACAGGTGTCTGGTATGCATCTTAGAAATCTTGATTTTTTTTTTTATAATAGTACGAGATGCTATATAACAGTATACAAAAGTATAGTTCTCTCTCGTCACGTTTCATTTATTAAATAATCCATTTTATTTAATAACAATCTTAAATCATATTACTAAAAAAATATGACGTTTGTAAATTTATAACGAATAGAAAACATTCGAATGTTAGAAGCTTTTTAAATGATCCAATAGATATCGTTGAAATCGTTGTTGGAGAGGGGGGGGATGAACCACAAAGTTCGTAGGCTTCTCGGGTAGTGCATTGTGATTGGTCGACTTGGCTGGTGCAGGTCAAGCGGCAGGATATACATCGGTGTCGTTTGTCATACGGTTGAAACCATAAGAACGATATCGCGCGCGTCCTAACAGAATAATACACAGAATTTAGTATTTTATTATTTCAGTTATAGAAATAAAACACATAGGAAAAATCATTTGTCCTTCGATTAGTTTAATGAACCTGTACAGTTCGAATGTATAACAAGTGTTTCTCGTGAATGTACCCAAAAAAAAGAGAACGTTTCTTCCTTCGGATTACGTACACGCGTGCGTGACTGTGTGTGTATGGTGTGTATGGTGTAAGTGCCTCTAAAGCATGTGCATATATATGTATACATAAAATATGTGTATTATGTGCTTTCTTTGGAACAGCAAGTCTATAAAATTTACGAAGTGCAGGATTACGTGACGATAGTTTTGATAAGAGGAGGAGGAGGAGGAGGAGGAGGACACCGTTTAATAGGAAGCTCAACGAATTACTTGAAAATATTTCAACAAGGATATAATAATACATATTTAAGGTAAAACGTTACTGTTATTTATACATATCGCACGCGTCTCTGTGTGTGTGTTTTTTTTAAACACTTTAAGGTTTAATTTTTAACGTTTTATATGTATTCACACTTTGATATAGATTCTAACTTATAATATATTTATATAATTTTGTTGAATTTAGTGAGCAAGGGTTATTTCTGTTATACATCTGTCTTCCTTTCTCAACGTTTTTCTCTTTCTTTTTGACGTTTTTTTAGACGCTTAGTGTCCTTTTCTTTCTAGGAACTCTTTTCCTGTATACCGGCGTCTCTCTCTCTCTCTCTCTCTCTTTCTCTCTCTTTCTATTTCTATCTCTTTCTCTGTCTCTGTTGCTGTCTCTTTCTATGGTGTTCTCTTTCCTTAGTTCCTTCCTTCTCTTTCTCGCCTCTTCTTCCTCCTACCTTTTCGGAATGCGCACACGGGGGGTCCGAAGGTTCACGTGCAACAGGTCTCTCTCTCTCCCTAGCGAAAGTTTCCAAAGAGATTTACTATACATAATAATTTGTTATTATTTTAATAATGATCAGTTGTTATTATTATTATTATTATTATCGAACAATTAACTTTATTACTTGAGTTTATTGTTTTTATTTCGTGATCCATTGATATTTTTCTTCTTCTTTGTTTGAATTTCATTATTTATCTAAGGAGAAGATACTTTCACTGAACTTTCATTTACGAAAAATGTGTATTATTCGGTTTAATTTTGATTCGTCCCGTTTTTCACTGAGCTTTCATTTAAGATTATAATTATTTATTATTTATATATATATATATATATATATTATATTCTATGATCACACATTTCTACTTAAATTATTTATTTAATAGATTTTAATATTGTGCATATTCATTAATTTCAATTAATTTAGCGTTATATTTTGTGTGTATTTCTTTTTTAAAATCAAATCAACAGAACAAATATTTTTTGTATAATCCAGAATACATATTTATACTTAATGATTTCATATATACGATATATAGGATTTACATTTTTATATTGTAAATTAATTATAATTGAAATTCACATTTACATATATCTTTTAATATTTTTCTTTTCAAAATTAAAGAAAAACAGGACGAACATTAACTTAAAGACCATCACAAATCAGTACCCAATCCCCTTCTCACCCCCCTAACCTTCTCACCATTAGCATTCGTATTAACAGTATTGTTCAATGTGTATGTTCATTACAGATTGTTGTAATAAGAATTTGAATCTAATTTTTGTTCTATCTAGTTTGATATTTATTTAGTTTAACGTGTTGATTTGATTGGACGAGTTATTCCATCGGAGTGAGAGAGAGAGAGAGAGTATATATAATTTCTATAGAATCTATCCTCGTGGTTGGGTTTAGTTCTTCCGGTAAAAGAGTAAGAGAGACAGAGAAAAAGAGATAAAGAGAGAAGATAAAGGAGCAACAGGTATTCGAGAGACGAGTTTTCGAGCAACTCTCCTATAGTTGGAATCTGGAAACTGTTTGGCGCGTATATCCTCCTCCTTCATCCCCCCCATTCCTCCTCGTCCACCTTTTCGTTATCTTTGTCGTCGTTGTGTTAGGACCATTGTTATTATCTATCTTTCTCTTTCTTTATATATTCCTATCATCTATTCGTTTCTCACTCTCTCTCTCTTCCTTTTAGTTTTTCTCCGGAAACCGTTGGTAGTAGGCGTACTTGTCTATCTTTCTTTCTTTATTTCTTCTTTTTTTTTTTTTTTGATTAAATGCTACCTACCTACGTTCGTTATCAATGATATCTTCTTCCCTCTCTTATTTTAACGCAATCTAACTCTTACGGATAGATTAAAATATTATTCATGATGATTTCTACATTTTATTTCTTTGTTTGTTCATTTGTGCGTTTCGTGCGTTTGTCAATTTTATTTTGTTATTATTGTTAACGCGAAGAAAAAGAAGTATTTTGTTCGATAAAAATTAATCGTGAAATTGAAACCTATCGTTTGTATCTATCTATTGCAATTTTATTTTCTTTCTTCTCGTTATTTGGTTTTATTATTTATTTAGTTTCTTTTTTTTGACAAAGAGTTTTTAATATTTCTCAAGCGTGCATCAAATATAAAATTCAATCTAGTTGCATAATATACGAGAACTAAAATTTGTTATATTTTCTTTTCTATTTAGTTTGTTTAAT